ATTAACCTATGAATCATAACATTGTCGCCTAAAATGATCTCATGTCCACCTCTAGTCAAGCTCACATACTTCCCATAATCAGGACTAAAGTCGTGTTGGAACAAAGACAGAACGTTAGCTGCATTCCACCTTTGAATCTTTGAGGATCCCCTGAAACCCTCAACTCAGCGCAAAGCCTGAAGGTGTGATGCATCAAGGTGAACACCCTGTGGAATATTCCTAGCTAAAAGCCGGGTTTCCATGTGCGCGCATATTAAATAATATGAGCTGAAAGTTTGTCGGTTAAAAAGTGAACACCAGCCTGACCCCCCAAACTGTATGTTTTGAGCACTTGTGAAAATTGTGAGCAATCCCTTAAAAGCTATTTCCGGTAAAAAAACGGGTTAAGACTTAAGAGCTTGTTAATAAAGTATAAAATTACACTGTGTTTCTAACAGTCTGATCTGACCTTTAACCTTAGATGATGCTAACGCTAAAGGAGCTGGCTAAATGAGACGGAACGTTCTAACAGAACCTTATTAGCGGGCCCTAGCTATGCTCTCTGACCATTAATCCACGCTGTAAAGAGTTATACCTTTACCACAGAGCTGCTTGCAGCCGGCTGCTCCTCCCGGCTCCTCTCTCGCTCCAGTCTTTCCATGTGGGGAGGCACCGCCTCCTGCCTTTGGTTTCTGGGCTGCTTGTTGGTCCTGATGGGCCGGTCTGAAGGGCTCAAGCCAAGGATGAGCGCGATCTTCTCAATCTCGCTGCGTTTCCTCTCAGCAGCCTCGTGCTCTTTGCGGAGATTGGATATCTTGGCCATCACCTCCTCCTGTAGGCGGGTTATCTCCTGCAGGAGCGGGTCCTTATGGCCGTCTTTCTCACGGCGCTTCTTCCTCAGCAGCTCACCTGAAAATGGGAGACATATTGAAAACATTTCAGAGTCCAGATGAAGCTCCGACTGTGAACTGGGATGTAATTCCCAACATCACCTGTGGGAACAGCGTAGTAACAATTCCTTCAGCTGGACTCAGCTGACCTTATATTGACCCCGCTCTAAATCTTTGGTTACACAGTTTGACGCCTGGCCGGTGACTCTGTTTGGACTTCAGAACCAGGCAGAATACTCAGACTCACCCTGCTGCTTCCTGAGTCGCTCCAGCTCCTTTATCAGGTACTCTTTCTTCGTCATTCGGACCTCCCGTTCTTCCCTCAGCTTCTCCCGCTCTTCTAGAACCTGTGAACAAAAGCCCACAGTCAGCAGGAGCAGTTCCATGTGACCGAAGGATCAGGTGAGCAGAAGTCCTCTCAGGAAGTGATGCATGAGTGTGGAGCAGCAAAGTCACCTTTAGTTTCTCAGTCTCCTTGTTCTGCTCGTCGGAAATGTTCTGGTCCTGACCCCGCTGCAGCTGCTGCTCTTCCTGACAAGCGGCTCTCGCAGCTCCTGGGGACCAAACACACAGTTGATAGACTGGAACCCCGGTTCCCTGCAGCTCAAAGCAAACACTCGGACCTACGGCAGGTCTCTCACCTTTGGACTCCACCGCAGGGCTCGGTTTGCTGTTGTACGTTAGAGGTGGTGGGTGTTCATCGGTGGTGGTCTGAGGAGGTTGGGCCATGTTAGGGGGCGGGTACATGGGGGGCCACTGCTGATGCATGTAGGGTAAATAGTTTCCATACTGGCTGTACCCTGGAGGGGGGAAATTAGGGGGCATCATGCCAGAGAGAGGTGGGGGAGGGTAGGTAGGGATGGGCATGCCCGTATGAGTTGGGATGGGGGCGGGGTCAGATGTCGGCGGGATCATGGGGGTGCTCCACTCGCTCTTTGCCTCTTTGACCTCCCAATCGTTGGCAGTTTTAGGAGCCGTGCTTTTCTTGGGCTCATGATCCTCACTGCTCCAGCTGGCCCCCCGTTTGGTGCCTCGCCCACGACTGCGACTTCTGCTGCTGCTACTTGAACTCTCACTCTGGCTATGCCTCCGGCTTCGGCTACGGCCGCTGCGGTTGGAACTGCTGGAAGAGTGACGTCGTCGCCGTGTGGGCGTCTTCAGAGGCTGCTTTTTCCCATGAAGGCGCTCCTTGGTCCTGGCAGCCATCTTGGTGATCTCGTTTACACCCAGGTCCAGCCCGATGGTTTTCAGCAGGTCCTGGATCTTCTCGTACTCCTCCAAAGCCTGGCGCTCACTCTCGTCCAACGGTTCCATTCCTGGTGGGTAGGAGGGGTTCGACACCTGAACCGTGACGTTCTGGTCAGCGCTTATGCTAGGTTGATTTACGTATCTGTTAATCTCGCTTGCAGTGGGAGTGGCCTGACGATGAGGTGAAATGCTTGGAGGGCAGCTGTGCACCTGACTGACGGCGCTCTGTGAGGGGGGATCGGAGTACAGGGAGTCCTCCGTCACGTCGCCATACAGATCAAGACTGCTGTGTCGAGCTGGTTCTGGTGCCTCTAAGATTTTGGGCTCCTCCAATTCTCCGTACAAGAACTTCTCTTCATCATCGATATCATCTAGAGCTTTCTCTGAAACGCCACCCAACGGCTCGGCCACGCCCAGCAGGTTCAGGATTTCTTTGATCTCATTGTTGAGGTTTGCCCGCTGCGACATCTCCGGGTCAGACCGCAGTTCTGAGAGCACAGCAGCCACAGCAAGCGGGTCGTTCATTTTAACAGCCTGCAGCAGCTGGTCAGCCACGTGGGACATGGTGCGGTCCAGATCCCCGGGAGAGTCGGCGCTCTGTGGCACAGAAAAACCATTTCATACGTCACCAACACATCTACAGCAGGAAGTGTAGCTGAATCTTTGTTTATTCTGGAAACTTCCGCCCTGAAGTCTCTGATGAAATGGTGCCCTAGTGGTTTAGCCTGTACCAGGCCCAACTTACCCGAACAGACGGGGAGGCTTCATAACTGTTGTGTTTCTTTAGGATGGATTTGGTCGGCTGACCCAAAAGCTCCTCCACCTCTCTCTTGCGCCGTGCCATCTCCAGCTCTTTAAAGAATCCATCACCTTTTCCATCCGTCTTCTCTATGCTTGAGCTACTGGAACTCGAACTGCTGCGATATTGCCGACTGCGACTCCTTCCTCTGCTCTTCCGGGATTTTGATCTGGACCTGGATCTAGACTTGCTGCGGGGTCGGCTCTTGCTCCTCCCACGGCTCTTGGCCCGACTTCGGTCNGGACTGCGGCTCTTGCCTCGGGTTCGGCTCTTGCTCCTCCCACGGCGCTGATCTGGACTACGACTCTGACCACGGTGACGGCTTTTGCTCCGTCCTGGACTTCGGCCCCTGCTGCTACTGCGCTTATATTCGAGACGAGGCGAGTAATCTCTGAAGGGAAACAGAAGTTGAGTTAAAGCACTGGGACTCGATGCCTAGATGGGGAGGAGCCTCTAAATCCAGCACAAAATGAGATATGTTCCTTTTTATTTATTCTACTTCATTAATGATTCGGTAAATGTAACAGCTCTGGTATTAATTACTTTTACAGGACTTGAAATGAAGGATTACTATAGACCAGGGACTATGATTATTGTATGGTTAATGTTCTATGGAGAATTACCACCCATAAAATCTCTTTGGAGAAACAGAGGCAAGTTCTTGTGAACTATTTTTAAATACCCATTCAGTTTTGCAGTATCTAAAGCTCATACCATCATACGGACAACCGATTTTGAGGATATCGCAGTATTTCTTTGAATGCTGCTCAAGCATGATGTAACTTTTTGGGGAAAGCCTGGTCCGATTTTAACATCCATGCTGACATTGAAGGCGATAGCTTCAGAGCAGCCTTTAATGCTATCT